GCAAAAGCCAATAAATTCCAACACAGCTCTCAACGGGCTATTCAAATGCACACTTGCTGCAGAACCACCTCGACTTCAGAAATGAGGAAACAACTGGCAAGAAAGCCACAGGAAAGGACAAGAAACCTCTGTGACTGGAAATTGCAGTATGTAGAGAAGTCTCTTTGGATCATTTGCTGTCTTGAAAGAGTCTTGCAGGCAAAGGCTCAGCCCTTAAGTCTTCAGAGGCTTCCCTTGGCGTGTGTGCTTGTTGAACATGTGGCAGAATGCTTCTCTATAGCCTGGAAACTGTGTTAAGCTCTCATAAAGCAATGCATAACACAGCAAGTTCTGGACCCTGAACTGCTACGTCTTCTGAGTCTCTGTTCACAGCTTCAGAAAAGATTGTGTTTTCATTTAGTTTTCAGTGTTCTCACCACTTGTAACACAACAGCAGGAAAGGAGGAATTGGTGAGAGACAGAATATGTAATCCTTCCTAAGAAAGGGAGAGCACCTTAGAGCTTTTTTATTTTATTTGAGGATGGAGGAGGGTGTGTGAGACGTTGTAGTGCTACAAATCTGACTCAGATCAATTAAATTATTTATGTACACTGAGTAAACATGGTGTACTTCGGATTTCTATGTGTAAGAAAAGTGTTACATTCTTTTTATTGTTTCTGTATTGGGAAAAAATAGAAATCAAGGCCCTGATCCTTACCTCTGCTTAGAACCCTCCCCTAGCAAAAATTACCTGGATTAGTGGCAAAGGGTTTTCTTTGAAGATTCAGTACTCCCACAGCCCTTTGACAGAAGAACCGTCTCTTCCACTAGTTCAGAACTCCTTGTGAAGCCTCTTCATGATAAAATGGGCAAGGTTCTCTTAAAGAATTTGTGCTCCCAAGTTTCCAGTCTTTGGAAAGCATACAGCAATGTTCTGAAAATGAAAGGCTTGAAGAGGGAATGTGGGCTGGGTTTAGACCGTCATGAGACAGGTTAATTTTACTCTATCGATGATGTGTTGCTGCACAAAAAAACCCCTCATGCTACTTTTCAAGCACAGCTAAATGATGATTTGTGTAGAAAAATAAAGCAAAACCAAAGAAGAGACTTAAAAAAAAGCACAGCAAAAAAGCCAAAATGGAGTTCTCACAAGGATAATAGCTGTAGTCATTGTCATTTGGCCTTCTCTATTGTAAGGCACCTTCATTCTCAAGTGCAGCAAATATTTTCTAACTGAAAAGCTACAAAATATATGCCAATAGAAATGTGAAGTAGAAAGTTGGAGGGGAAACATTAATTCTTATCCAGAAACACAATTTGCATTCCTTCTGCTCTTTAATAATAAGAATTCCAGTCATGGGGAAGACTGCCTTCCTCAATGGCATTAAATGAAAATGAATGAGTTGAGTCTTATTTCAAAATTTTCTTAGCTTTTCTTCAAGTGCCTGCAGGCTACATGCTGCCTCAGACTATATGCATCTACATGAAGTTTGTTGCAAGGAATGGCATCTGAAAAGAAGGAAAACCAGTTTCCACTCCCAAAGAATGAGGAACCAGGAGGTGAAGAGGATGAACGGGGTCTTGTAGAATCTGCTGCTCCACCCTGCTCCTGGGCAGTGCAGAATAGTCCTGCTCAGGGGGCTGGCTCAGGGTAGGAGATACCAGTGTTTGAGGTAGGCAGAGCAAATTCATGGCTGTGTAAAATCTTAAGAAAAAGGCAGAGGAGAGAAAATAATAAATTCTGCTCCTTCCCAGACAGCTGATGGCAGTGTGTGCATTGACATGTTCAAGGTTTCTTGTTCTGCTCCTCTTTAACTACATAGTCTGATAACCAAGATAATGAGCTACAAGCTGAAGAGATTTGACAGTCTGGCCTTGTTCCAGCATGCTTTAAGGTATTAAGCATGGGAAAAAAGTTAATGAATGCACTGCGAGAACTCAAAGACAAATGCCCTTTTGTGTGCAGTCTGCATATTTCCACCTTAAAATAAACACCCATGTGACAGCAGTGCTAGTCCTGTTCCTATTTCAGATGTAGCACAGGCATAAGAAGCTCACCTCCTATGCCATGCTCAATCCCTTTGACCAGCCTGTGGAGAATCTCAGACAGGAGTTTGCAGAAGAATGCCCACAGTTGCTCTCAAATCACCATGCAGCCACTTCTGTTCCTTCTCACCATTCCGCACCAATCCAGTGCCTGCCTTCTGCTTCAGCAAGCTGCAGGTGTCACAAGTGGAGCCCCCAACACAAGGACATGCACCTATTGCAGCAAGTCCAGAGCAGGGCCACAAAGATGATCAGGGGGCTGGAGCACCTCTCCTATGAGGACAGACTGAGAGAGTTGGGGTTGTTCAACCTGGAGAAGAGAAGGCTCTGGGGAGACCTTATAGTGGCCTTGCAGTACCTGAAGGGTGAAGAGGGTCCCTTTCGGAGAGCCGACCGAGTAACGACAGTCACACCGATGCAGTTCCATGCCATTCTCACTTTATTGCTCAAATTAGCCCAATATATATACAGTTAGGCAGTGTTCACACACACAGGGTGAAAGCTATAATAAGCTTTGTTTTCTGTTAATGTTATCAAGCCATGGGGGTGTTAGATGCCCCTGCTGCGGTTAGAACATCCTATCATACGTCCTTGCACATCCAGCACAGTTCTTACAAAAACAGTTTACTCCCTCTTCACGAAAACTTCAGGGACAGAGCACAAGCTGGATTGTCCGAACCTTAAAGGGGTACATTGTGTTCTTGTTCCGCAAGAAATTCTGCTACAGAAGGGAGCACAGGAAAGCTGGGGAGGGACTGTTTACAAGGGCGTGTAGTGACAGGACAAGGGTCAATGGTTTTTAATGGGAACAGGGTAGATTTAGATTAGACATAAGGAAGAAATTCTTTACTATGAGGGTGGTGAGATGCTGGAACAGGTTGCCCAGGGAAGTTGTGGATGCCTCATCTTTGGAAGTTCTCAAGGCCAGGTTGGTCGAGACTTTGAACAACCTGTTCTAGTGGGAAGTGTCCCTGCCCATGGGATTGGGGTTGGAAGCAGGTGATCTTTAAGGATCCTTCCAACTCAAACCATTCTGAGATTCTATGAAATGTGCTGCTCTCCATCTTCTCCAAGTCACCCTCTGAGCCAAAAGGGACCCCTACAGAAAAGCCCACATCCTAGGTGCCTGCAGCATCACCAGCAGCCACATTCCCTGGGACCTGCAGCCACATTCCCTGGGACCAGGCATTTTCTGCAGCCCAGCAAGCTGTGCTGCCCCAACCTCAGGATGGCAACTTGGAGACAAAAGCTGTAAGACAGTCCACAACTTATTCCCTCTGCCCCTCTTGCAGGCATAAGAATCAGGACACAATCACCCCTGCTTTAGGTTTGCTCCATTCTGACCATTTGTCTCAAGATCATTTATTTGGTTGGATTTTACTGTGCACCAAGAGAGGCTGCAGGCAGGATGTAGATGATTGATGTGCACACAGAAATTGTTTCTTGACTATTGCACTCCCTGGAGAGCAAAAAGTAATGAGTCCAAGCGTTGATATGCTCACTGCCCCAGTAAGACAACCCAAGTTTTTGTCAGTCAAATGGAGAAAAGTCAGCCTCCAGCTCTCACGGAGAGAAAGATTCCTATTTTCTTCACCCTTTGCTCTTATATATTGTATAGCTCTCCAAGCTAGTCAGCTTTCTCTGCCATCCTTGAGCTATTAGTTGTTACCATTTCAAAAAACCTGTGCCCTTAGGTGCAAGATTTTGTGTTTTTCGTAGCTGAATTTAATGAGGTTCTCAACCCATTTCTCCAGCTTGCCGAGGTCCCTCTAGGTTGCAGCAGGTCAGTGTGAACATCAGCAAAACCCCTCTGACACAACACTCAGTCCATCCAGCTGGGTATCCTCTGCAGATTTGATGTGGCTGCACCCTGTCTGATCATGCAGATCATTCATGAAAATGTTAAATATTACCAGCCTTTTTATCAGGTACACCACTGCTGACTGCTGACTGGCCTGCAGCTGTACTTTATGCCTCTGATCACAGTATTTTCACCTTGTCCATTCAGCCAGTTTGTGCTACACCTCAGTGCCCACTGGTCTTCATCAATTCATCAGTGAAGATGTTATGGGAGACAGGGCTGGATTCTTTCCTAAAGGCATGATAAACGATATCCACCTTGCTCTCCTCATCCACCAATAGAGTCATCTCCTTGCAGAAGGCTATCAGATGCATGAGGCATGATTTCTCCCTTTGCAAATCCATACCGACAACTCCCTAAAAGTAAAGGAGCATATATATATGCCAATATATAACAATCACCTAAACCTGCTGGCAGCCACCCACAGCACGGAAGGGATTCAGCGTTCATTCATGCTTTGTGGAAAGAGCTCACACTGCTGCATGTTTCATGGGCACATGAAACCGATCCTTTCGACTTACGATCCACACCTGGCCACCAGCCCAGCTGGCGATCTGCCAGACCGTGAGGACTGACTGATGAACATCGATCTTCAAATGCATGAATGGACATTAATTGCATAGCTGTGACAAATATGCAAAGCTTAATGTTTTATGCCTAATGCTGATAAGGTAGCTAAATGAAAGAATCAGTGAAACGAGTTTGGTTAAAGCAGAGGTAAACAAAGAGTAATTATTGACAAGTTATGTTAGAGAAACAAAAGCTTTTGGCATGGGCTACTCAAGTTCTGAAATACGGTTAACAAATTCACACTACTGGCAAGAAAGAAAGTTATTTAATAGAAATTTATTTATGTATTAAACACTAACAAATGACAGCTAGTGACTCCCAATTAAATAACATTGAAAAGAACTGATGATAATGTTATTAACTGAACAGTGACCCTCTACTAGAAGACAGTGGAAAAGAGAAGGAGCATATTTTTCACCCTCAAAGTCTCTAGGTTTGCATCTAGATCTGTGTGTTCCCATCAGAAGATCCCAGAATAAATAATAATGACAGAAGAAACCATAGTCTTTAGACCCTGTTTTGCTTTATCTTGGACTTGACCCCTTAGCACCGCCCCAGATGTAGCTGCAGCACACCGTGGAAGTGCATATCCACGTAATAACTAAACTCTTTGGGCATGATGTGGATGTTCTGCTTGGGAAGCACGTTGTCATAGTAATGATGGGGCAGGGAATGGCCATCAGGATGGAAGGAGAAGGGCCAGAAGCCATAGAGGGTAATGTGTTGGCACAGCTCCAGAGCAGCATTCACTAGCATGAAACCCGAGGAGAGACGATAGGTATGAAAACCAAGGTCATGCCAGTACTTGCTTAGAGCACTTAGATAATGAGGGTGGAAGAAGAAGACATGCGACTCAGAGGCAGAATCCTGTAAGGCATAGAGGGCTCGGTAAGAAGCCTCAGTATCGTCAGGGAAGGAGAAAGATGGGATGAGGAACCACGTCTTTCCGTAGGGAGCTGCTGCCTTCACAAATGGCAGGCGCCGACCGTTCAGACCATGAAACCTGTGAGGCAACAGATGTGGGGCCATGACCCTCTGCCAATACCATCCTTGTTCCCTTCTGCTCTTCCCATGATACTCTGCTCAAAACCAGTGAAATAGCAGCTCTACCCTTCACTTCCATTTTACCCTTCTCTGTGTCTTATGGGTGATCTGAGTTCAAGATTCTCAGATACAGCTAACACAGACCAGGGGAGCTGCTTCACAATATCCAGGTTTGCTAGTCACTAGTTTGTTAAGTGACTAGTTGGGTAAGGGGCTGGGAAGATGTCTTCAGATTTAAAACCTCAGTGGCCCCACAGCTCACAATTCATGGATAATGATGTCCCACAACGGTGCAGCAGAGGTTTGGGAGAGAATTCATATGATCTGCCTTTAGAGATCTGCTACACAGACATTTACAGCTACACCTGAGTTAATTATCTAAATGTCTTTTGTAGTCATGCTTTGTAGTCAGTGGAGGAAAACAAATACAGCTGGACCACAACCAGTGTGTCTTACTTTAGATCACAGAATCACAGAATGTTGGGGGTTGGAAGGGACCTCGAAGGATCATCTAGCCCAACCCCCCTGCCAGAGCAAGATCACCTACAGTAGGTCACACAGGAACGTGTCCACGTGGGTTTTGAATGCCTTCAGAGAAGGAGACTCCACGACCTCTCTGGGCAGCCTGTGCCAGTGCTCTGTCATCCTCACAGTGAAAAAGGTTTTCCTAACGTTTTTGAGGAACCTCTGATGCTCCAGCTTGCACCCATTGCCCCTTGTCCTATCATTGAACATCACTGAGAAGAGCCTGACTCCATCCTCCTGACACTCACCCTTTACATATCTATAAACATTAAGGAGGTCACCCCTTAGTCTCATCTTCTCCAAACTCTTACATTGGTACACGGAGTTGTTCTTTCCCAGATGCAAGACTCTACACTTGTCTTTGTTGTGTTTCACAAGATTTCTCCCTGCCCAACTCTCCAGCCTGTCTAGATCTCCCTGAATGGCAGCACAGCCTTCTGGTGTGTCAGCCACTCCTCCTGTAGTGACTGCTCTAAGACAAGGAGTACATATTTTCTTCACTGAACATAAAGAGCATTTATGCATCTAGGATCAGAATGAGACGACATAATTCCCATCAGAGCTCCTTCCTGATAGCAGTAGTTCAGAATACAGGTGAGCTTCCTCTACCTGTCTTGATATCACCCTTCAGAGGATTGACTGTCCGGAAAATGTGGAAATGCTATTAATCTCTAGTGGTAAGCTAAAACAATCAGCAGCAACCAAGTCTTGAACAGACTCTGCCCTAAGCAAGTCCAAGACTTGCAGTATTTCCCTGTAGACCTCTGCACAGTGGGGAGCATCTCACAGAAACAGATGCAAATAGCTTTTTCCAGGACAAGCTTTTCATGATAGCAAAAGCCTGTCTGTTTTCTGGGAACCAGAGCAGAGGCAAAAGAGATTGCCTTTTCAAGAACATGGTGTATGACGGAAAAGAAAGTTAGGGTCCTTTCCTCCATTTTTATTGTCACACCTATTACCTTTTCTGAAGGATGCTAGGATTTACAGTGACGATGCTTGACTTTCTGCCCACATCCTCAGGGAAGTCCATAGAAGGCAAGTTAAACCTGATTGAGGTGATAAAAAGAGGAATAATGCTTCCATGATATCCTGAGACCTTACCCATCCCCCAGTGACAATATTCAGTTCAGGTGGACCCCATCATTTCCCCAGCCCCTCAGAACCTTTTCTCTGTCTCCATTTTCTCTTCCTTCACCCCGTTCCCATGAAAACCCCTCCTCTTGCTGGTCTCCTACATCTCTCCTGGGCAGGCTGACAGCAGTTACCTGATTACAAACTGGTGCTCATCAATTTTAGCACCACAGCTACTGTTCCTGAGGATTCCTCCATTTCCCACTACAGCACACGTTTTGTAGAGGGGGTTCTGAAAGGGGGATTTCTATAAAGAAACATGTAGAAATTCATTCACCCTTAGAAAATTACAGTAAAAACCTATGCAGATCCCCCAGCTGGACCCATTCTAGGGTGTCTGAGAGAAAAACATGCAGACTGTCAGTCATATTCCCCATCAAAGAGCACTCCTACCTCTGGCAGGATCTCCAGCAAGCCACTGCTAACTTTCAATCTCTTTGAGGGATATCCGTCATAGACAATCTCGGACCCCAACGGGGCATTCTCTTGTGTCACTGCCAGCCACGCTGAGGCGTTGCAGCAGTGCCCTAGCTCTGCCCTGTGAGGGAGAGAGAGTGGAAGATGGTGAGCAGAAGTCTGGGGGTGGTATGAAGGGTGGCTGTAACAGAATAACAAAGGAAAGAAGGATGAGAATGAGAAGAGAGGGCTAGGCAGGGTGCCACAATAGAAGCAGAGTAAAGGATTAGGTGAGCAAGTATCACAGTGCCATGAGAAAGTGAGTTTGGGAAAGCACAGAGAACACAAAGAAGACATTATATCAGGTTAGAACTACCTTTGTTGTACACTCTCTTTCTCCATCTCTACATATCTTTTGTTTTCTTCTTCCTCATACACACACACATTGCCAGATATTTTCTCTCTGTTCTCCACTCTTTAGCCTAGCCAGTATTCCAAAGCCTTTTGTGTTTGCTTCAGCTTCACACAAACCTATGAGTGCCTTCACCTCTCTCCTCATCAGCTTACCAACGTGTGAGATCAAAGGCCAGCATATGGGATGTAGCAGGGCCATGCAAAAAGGTGTTACATGGGGATGGTGGGTGTGGGTGTGCCTGCACATCCCACCCTCGCAGTATGACTTCCAGAACAACATCTCTGTAGATATGATTGTGAGTACAGATAGCCTGTGTGAAGATCAATCCAATAAACAAACCTGGGGAGACATTTACCCAAAACTCAAATGAAAGAGGAAGATGACCAAGAGACTCTTGGAATAAAGAAGGAGTCACCTGAAACAAAGTATGAAAGGAACGTGAACATTTTTCATGAGGGGCAAATGATTATGGAGTAGAAAGAGCAACAGTCAAAACTTTATCTGACCCTGCCAGAAGCTGCCCCACCAGCATCATGATCTCTGCCAAGGCCAGGCAGAGCAGCCTCCTTGTCAGATGCTGTACAGAGTCTGCATCCAGCCAGTGGCTCTCAGGTGCAGCAAGTTGGGGCCCAACCTGTGGATTCACAGGGTACTTCTCCACAGATTTGTGGATCAGCAAGCCCCAGAGAGCACAAGGGTCTCCCACAAATCTAGACTGCACACACATCCTGTGAGGGGGAGCCTGTAACTGCCTCTCCGTGTGTGTGTGTGATTAGAACTTCCTGAGCTTATTTGTTTAGAAATTCATGGTTGTATATTGACATTTTGTAAGTGTCTAACATTTTGGTTTGTCTGCTTTGTTATTGATATTTGATCCTGAATGTCTACTTCACCCATTGTGAAGTAAGCATGTGTCATCAATAAACTAATAAACCACTTTGGTTATTATTTTACTGAAAAAAGGTGAACTGAGTAGTTTTCCCCTGTCACTAGTGGACATCACCTGTACTGGGCCAAGGCAGTAATGTTGAACTTCCAGCAGCAGCTCTGCATTAACTTCACGTGTGTCAGACTCCAGACTTCATTGATCCTAGGGCAGAAAAGCTCCTAAGCAACTAGAATGTTCTCACAAAGACTTACTGCAAACAAACAACTCTGTTGCATCCCTCCCTAGCCCCTGCACCTTCACTGAGGCCAACAGGTGACCCAATTTACTCAATTGACTGTCTGCCTCTGCCCAGCACACCTGTGGCCATAACTTACTTGTGAGGTTGTGTTATGTTGCTCAACAGTTCTTGACATGCTTCTGCTTCTGAAACCTTGATGTCAGGTCTGTGAAAAAATCCAAAGGGTTAGACTGAGCCAGAACATTATGTCTTCACACAGCTTTTCTCCATCACTCCAACCCAGTAATCCCGTACTCCCAGTGTGTCCCCTTGGCCATCTCATGGCCATGTCTGAAATATCCCACATTGAAATATGCACCTGAGACTAGCATAACTGCATCCTTTCTCTACACTATCTCCACTCCTACTCTACTGATTCCTTTCCTCTGTGAAAGGCATCCTCTGTGTTCCCACTTCCTTTGCAGGACTGAGGGAATGCATTTTCTCCACTCTGTCCCACACTCACCTGCCATTCAACACCAGAAAGCACATGGAGACAAATGAGACTGCAGCTACAGCCAGCAACATGACCCATAGCTTGTGCATCTTCAGGAGTCCTGGCTTCACATACTCCTCCCTGCTGATGCTGTGTGGCATTCTGAGGTATACCTGAGAGAGCAGAAAGAAATGAGGAAGTTCCGTATTGTAGCTGTGTAGTGTAAACACCCAGCCTGGGGCTTTTCTGGCACTTAGCCTAGTGGAAAGTTTTCTTAACTCTCGTGAAACAACGTCCAATAGAAAGGATAGCAGAGAACTCTTGGACTACACTGAAAAATGGCATGGGGTTATTAGAGGATCCCACCAGATCCTGTTGGAAGACATCAAGGACAATGCCAGTCAATATTCTCTCTCCTTTAGAGCTGTCCTCAGCTTATCCAGGGCAATGATTCTACCTGCCACCTTCTCCACCTCATCTCTCTAGCAGTTCTCAAAAAATGTCTGCACACAAGTTCTTCATCATCTGTGCTGGAAAGAAAAGGGCTGACAGGTTTCTCCTCATTTGCTTAGCTTCCTTGCCCGTCAGGGGCGAGGACCAGCCCCAGTGATCAGAAGCAGTGAAGTGCAGCACACCCTGCTCGTCTCAGGAATGAACCTTTGTACTGGAATGCAGTGGATTTACTTGTTAGCAGGCAGCCACCCCAGTCACGTCGAATCTATACAAAAACTGACACAGCATCAGATTGACATGTTTCTTCAGAGATATAGTTTTATCTGGTGTCGGTAAAAGAAGCAATTTTGCTCATTTTCCAAAGCTCACATCCTTTACCACCTTCCCAACCTTGGCTAAAGAATAATTGTTCTGGCCCTCTCCAAACAGTGGCATGATTACAAGGTGGGGAAGAAAAGGGAGAAAGGAAGCAAAGCTTTATTGATATTCCTTTTGAAGTTTTGCCTTGAAGTTTGCTATATTTTATGTCAGTTTACAGTATGCTGAAATAGCCTAATGCAAACCTTTCAAGTACAAATTTTGAACAATTGGGCAAAAATAAGGTCCATCACAACATTCTATTCACTGAATTGGAGACATATGGGTTTGATGGATGGATTGTTAGATGGATAAAGAACTGACTGGATATCTGCATCCGAAGAATTGCAGTCAACAGCTCGGTGTCCAAGTGGAAACCTCTAATGAGTTGTGTCCTTCAAGGGTCCATAGTGGGACCAGTATAGTTTCATACCATGACCTCTGACATAGTGTAATTGAGTGCACCCTCAGCAAGTTTGCAGAACTGAAAGGGCCTTTTGAGGTCCCTTCCAACCCCTAACATTCTGTGATTCTGTGGTTCTGTGATTCTGTGTGACCCTGACAGTCTTGAGAAGTGGGTACATGTGAACAAGTTCAACAAGACCATAAGCAAGGTCCTGTGCCTGGATTGGGATAATCCTCAATATTAGTGGAGGCTGGGGAATGAAGGGATAGAGAGCAACCCTGCAAAGATAGTCTGGGGGCTACTGGTGGGTGAAAAACTGGACATGAGCTAGCAATGTGCACCTGCAGCCAAGAAAAACAGTTGGGTGCTGGGCTGCATCAAAAGAAGCATGGCCAGCAGATTGAGGGAGATGATTCTATCTGCTCTGGTGAGACATCAACTGGACTGCTGCATCCAGCTCTTCAGTCCCCACCTCAAGAAAGATGTGAACCTATTAGAGTGGGTCCAGAGGAGGCCACAAAAATAGTTAGAGGACTGGAACATCCCTCCTATGAAGAAAGTCTGAGAGAGTTGAGATTGTTCAGACTGGAGAAAAGAAGTCACAAGTGTGACCTTATCGTAGCATTTTAATACTTAAACAGGGCTTGCAAGAAAAGTGGAGAAAGACTTTTTGCCACGGCCTGTAGTGACAAGACAAGGGACAATGCATTTAAACTGAAAGAAGGTAGATTTATATTGGACATAAGACAAAAGTGTTTTATGGTGATGGTGATGAGATGCTGGAACAGGTTGCCCAGAGCAGTTGTGGATGCCCCATCATGGGAAGCATTCAGGGTCGGGTTGGATGGGGCTTTGAACAACTTGATCTAGTAAGATATGTCCTGTCTATGGCAGGAGGGTAGAACTGCATAATCTTTGATAGTCACTTCTAGCTCAAACTATTCTATGATTCTATGAATCTTTGATTGTGTGATTCTATGAAGATGGAAACTAGATTTATCAGGAATGTGATGCGGTTGTAAGTCATCTGTTCATAGGGAAAAAAAATCTTCTTTGTGGCAAGTATTGCTCAACTTCATCTCCCGAGGCTGGAACACGACGAACTCAGCCCCAAGCAAAATGAAGGTAATCAGAATGTCGCTTTTATCGCTCTCAGTCAACAAATGCACTTTCCATTACCTGGGTTTGTTTGATCTGGGGGTTTTACTGAGCTAGTCTTATTTAGGGTTGTATTGGCTTGTTGGCTTGCTTTTTTACGAGCAACAGCTCTTCTCAGACAAGAGTGATATTCTCTTTAAAGCCCTTGGTCTGGGTAAGCGTACTGTCAGCTCTCAAAAGTGATAGTTGCTGAGATGCAATGTCAGCCATGCACTAATGTTTAGCACTAATTATATAACAACAGTCTAGAAAATGGGAATCCAACGTTCAGTTTCCCACTCCAAACATATGAGATTAAAACAATGATTTCAATAAAATAAAAAGGTATGGAATCTAAGCCCAAGAAAGCACCTACCTTTTAGACCAAGAAGTCTGTGAGGCGTATCTGTTTGATCCTGAAGCTGGGTTCAAACGCATTCATACCTGGGCCAGTACAGTTTTGCTGCAGCTCAAACCTCCCAGCAACCTGGAACTGCCCTCTCAGGGGGAGGGGATGTGATGACTTCCCTCTTTTGGAGTGACTCATGCATTTCTTCTGAATCACAAGAAACCTGTCAACTGTGAAAAGTCCTCCTGACAGTTGGTGCTTGGTGCAATTATATCCAGATCAAAAGCCTTTCTTGGCTTTGTTTTTTGTACATTGCATTTCCTGTTGTAAATACCCGACCGTTGGAGCATTTTGCAAACAGCTACTGCATGAGACAACATGGACACAAGAAGACAAGTGTCTTAGGTGTACAGCTAAGACCTCAGAACACTGCTGCAGAGCTGGGAGGGGAGGTAACTGCTAGGCTTAGTGCAAAGGCTGACTTCAGTAAACCACGACTAGAGTTTTAATTTCCAAAACTACTCAAGAGTTTGTGGAAACTGGAATATCCCTACAGAATCAAGCTACACCAAGTTCACAAGCTCTTGCACTGCTCCTTCCTGTGACTGACAGTGTCAAACCAAAAAGTAAAAGAAACACCAAAGTGGTGGGACTCACAAAGATTTTCTCCATCAGCCAGGTGAACCTCCTTATCTATGTATCCCCAAGTTTATTAGGATATCGGTTTCTGGAGCTGCGGTCACCTGCACCATTGGTCCAGTATCCTTTTATTCTAATCATCACAGGCAGTTGCGCATATCTGCACATCCCTTTACTATAGGAGCTCATGGTCTTCACCAAACTTGCTCAGAAACTTGTCAGTTAGAAACCATATACTTATCAACCTGTGCAATATCTGTGGTTTAGATACCTTTTGGAAAATTTTGATCGCTACAATCTGTCCTATTTCCTTATTAGATCTTTTCTTAACTACCTGTCTGTGTAATCTCATCCTCTGTCTTGTGTGTGGGAGTGTTGCAAGGACTAAGTGCCACCTCCTGGTGAAACTAGCGTGAGTTTTTTTATTTGTACAAGTGTAAACAAAAGGACTGATGAGAAGAGTTAAGATAGGGCAGAAAACAGAGAATATTTGAATACCTCAGATTGTTAGGTGTGGGAACATAAAAACAACAGTTATGGACCCATAATGGGATGAAAAAATTAAAAAGAGGGGCGAAAAAATTAAAAAGAGGGGCAAAAAAATGAAGAATTCACACAGCAGTAACAATTCAAGTTGTTTCCCATAAGAAACTTGAAATAATAGCAGTAATATCTTGAAGGTTGCATGGGCAAGACCATATGAACAGCAGCAAAAAACCAACAGCATGAAGGCTACGAGGTAAAGAGCTGAACGCGCTTTCAAGAACAGCAAACACAACCTTCTTGAGAAATGATGCAGAAGAAGATGTGGCACATGAGACACAGTTACTGAGGGACAGCAAAGCTGATCCAGGGGTCATAAAAACCCCAAACTCTCACCATCCTAAAAGATATATGGAGTAGCTGTTCACGTGGCAGTCAGAAACTACCTAACTTCTGTCACTGCTCACCTCAAGGTTCATGCTCCCCATGCATGTCACCAGTGACCTTCAACTTCAGGGAGAATTTCTTGACCTGACCTCCCACCTTGAGCTGAATCTGGCAAGGGCCATGAGGGGCAATAAGAAAACCTTTCACAAGTCCATTCGCTGCAAAAAGAAGACTAGAAGAAGTGAGTCCACTGCTGAATGGGAGAAGAAGAGGGGTCTAGTAACAGAGGACACAGGAAAAATCAAGGAACTCAATGCCTTCTTCACTTAAATTTTCACTGGTAAGTTCAGGCTTTCACTGATAACGTTTAGGCTGTAGCCCTGATGGTAACCCTAACTAACTGCTGGCTGTGCAAGCCTACCCAGAAGCTTGAGACCCTCATGGAATTAGAAAGACAATGCTTTTCAAAAGAATTAACATTTTATAAAATTGAGTCTTCTTCTAAGAACTAAAGGCAGGTTGTGCCACTGTGGGAAAAAAAAATAGAAAAAGAG